TATTAATTTTCATCTCGTCGACTGTTTTTGTGCCCATTCTGATTCATTTTCGAAACTGACTTCAATAAATTATAACTCGTTTGCAGCTGCCTAACCATAAGTTTTTGTATTTTGTGCCATTTCCGATGATGTTTCTTCGATTGCAAAATGTAAATTTTTGTCGTTTTTTTTCTTTTAATGCACAATACACTCATTATTTCTCGTGGAATGCAATTGATTCTAACGAGGAATTCTATTAACGTTCTTCAGTTTTGTCACAAATAGACGACGAACAACAGATAATTCAGCATAATAAGATTTATTCTCTCCCTATATAATGATAATCGAACGAACAATACGTTTGATCATACAAAAGTAGCGCATTAAACGTAAAACTGAAATGCTAACAAAGGAAGGAACACCGAATCTGCTCAATGTGTCTTCTGGTTGTCGTCCATTTCGACGACCTTCGATATCGCAATCACAAAAACAACGACTCGGAATCACAAAAACAAAACTCAATTTCACCACCTAAAAACTAGTAAAAGAATAAAAACGAATGACAACAATAAAAAGAAATAAAACGAGAATGAACAGCAGTAATGAGAGAAGAACATTATAGCAAATCTCAATAAGTTGTTTCCATTTGAATTATTATTCACTGCTGATATCGAAGTGCAATCAATCTCTTATTAATGAAGATTATTTATGTGAAAATGACTCGACACGAGAATAATTTCAATTACGATAAATCTTGAAACAAATGCGCGATTAACGGATAACGGATAAGAACAATGAATAAAACACACCAGACTCGAAATTAAACTTATAACGATAAAACTGTACTGTTAATAATAATAATAAAATAATGATAATAATCATACTAACAAAAATAATAATGATCATAAAATTAATAATATCGATATCAATTAAAATAGGTAATAATAATAACAACAATAATACACAAATGGTGCCATGTGAAGTTGAAAACAACACGACGATATCGAGAACAAAAAATGAACACTCAAAATTTCACTGAAATTAAATGTCGAAATCAGAGAAGACGAATAAATTAATGGATGAATGAATAACGAAAATGTCGCACTAAAACAACAACGTGAACGAAACGTTCCAAAAAAGTTCGGAGTGTTCAGCAAAAGAATGTGAGAATGAATGCATGTGATCTGTTCTATGATTGATATTTGTACGAGATAATTCGTAACCAAATTTGAGAGCAATTGTGAGATTTCGAAAAGCGTTTCAAGGTAATATTTTCGGAGAATTTCAAAGCTCAAAGTGAGAACTGCAGTCAAGAATAGTTAGTCGGATTGCATGAGAGCAATGTTGCTGTGCAACTGAATTGCATTTGATTTGAACAATAAGAAATTTACGGGTGATAAGACAATCTGAGATGATAACGTTCGATGTTTGTGCAAATATAACGAGAGATTCTTTGTAGATCAACAAATGAGGAAAATCAACGAAAAAAAATTGAAAGAAAGAAGAAAAAATTGGCGTGAACAAAATCAAAAAATAACGAGAAGAAGATCGTTGAGAATACGCAATGTGCGTGAGAGAAAAGAAGAAGCGTCCATTGATAAACGATCACTAAAAATCGTGAAAAATCATCAAATAATCTCTAATCACAGTATGAACGAAAAAAAGGAAATAATTCAACCAAATTCAGATGACAAATTACGGTTCGCGTCCTTTTGCAATTATAAGCTTTCATTGTCAGTCAACTATGAACCAATGATAACCATAAAAAGACAACCTCATTTCATAACATAACCAACACCTCAATATCTCATTTTACATGTTACGAAAGAGGAGGAACCTTCGCTTTCATAAAACACGTTTTTAGACAATTTGCTTATTGCTAGAGAAAAAATATGAAATTTTCTGACAATTCACAGATTATTTGCGTTCTCCTAATTGATAACTCTCGATTCTTCATTATGTTAATGATAATTTGAAATTTTTGTTCGCTGACTTTCTTGTTGACCAATTCTGAAGACATCTTATTCATAGAAGCAAGTGATCTATCTGGTTGATACTAACGTTTAATAAAAATTATAAATCTAAAGAGAAATAATTTGGAAATAGACGAACCGAATTTGATGACAAGCATATGGCAATAATAACATGTGTATTTACACAGTAACAATTCATGAATTATGCGGTAATATTTCAATAATAATAATAGTAATAGTAATAATAATAATGATAGTAATAATGATGACTCAAATGATAATCATAACTTAAAATGACAACAAATTCAAGTCAAATATTCATTGTTTGATTGGGCGAGAAAACGAGAACAATTCGAAATTAGAAAACGGGAAAGAAGAAACAAATCTCATTTGTGAACCGAAGAACAAGCATAAGAATCGATGAAGCAGCAGTTGTGAGGCTATGTGATTGCAGCTGTAGTGGGTGAGTTCGACGTGGTGCCTGCGGCTGCATTGACGTTCGACGCGGTCAACTGTTGTGCTTCACGTCGCATTGTATTCGACGAAAAGCCGGGCAGATTCGGGAATCTGATTCCGATATCGCGTGACACCTTTACAGGTACCTGCAATCGATCATTCGAATGTGTCACTCAATCCGTTCATCAGCAAGCTTTTTCTTCATAACACTTGCGATAAAAAGCTGCTCATCGTTGAAAATATCGAAAATTCAGAATCAGCTCCTCAACAACTCAACCGCCGCAGCGCGCAAAAATAAAGTCTCTGNATGATGGAGATTTCTGGTGCATGAAGCAGCGGTAAAGCAATCAAGTGGACTTAATTCCATGAAATGCCAGCAGATTTAATTTCTTGATGCTTTTGAGGGTTTGAATCTTAACCATTTCATGGCTCTACAAATGAATATTGAGATTTTCATCTGACAACATCATTGCAATGATGGCGTTCGAAGGGAACGAAAATTTTGATTTGAAGACGGTTTCTCAGCGAGAAATGAACAAAACAGCGAGAAATGTTCCTTCACTATGCATTGAATGAGTTTGTTTCACTTCTTTTGAGAAAGCATACCTCAGATTCTGTCAGAGCAATTGCAAATGAAAAGTGAATATCTGAGAGATTCAATTTGGAATATTTTAAATGGGATGTTTAAAACAGTGGTTTTCATAGGAGATGAAATTACCCATTTTGGGTAATTTGGAGGTGTGGAGGAGTAATGGAGGAGGTCGCGAAATTGGTATTTCGTGCGTTGTTGTTTTACTTTCTGACTGTCAGTAGCTCGTCCGGGCCTAACAGGGTTTTCATTCTTTTCCTTACTG